ATTCGGCGCCGACTTATGCCGTTGTAGCCGAAAGCATCTGACGAAAGACTCCTGTACGAGTCTGAAAGTTCAGACCAATAAACGAAGTGTTCCGGTGCTCCACTCTTCTTCTTTACTTATGATTGTTTAGTAAATTTAGCGTTGGCGGTCAGCTTACTGTATCAGACTTGGTGGACTACATACGTTGCCGTAGGGTGGGCGAGTAAATTGACTTAAATGAAATTAGACTCTCAGCTGCCGGTGGGGCCTCATAACTACGGCGGCTAGGGCGTTGGCTGTACTCAAACCTTCCCCTTGCCCTCGTAAGTTCGAATCTCACTGGTGAAGTCGAGGTTTACGAAACTTGGTCAGAATAAATTATTCACAATAGCCCAAAGCACCTACTAACGGTATATGTGTAGTATATTGCCCCGGAAAAAGTTATTTATGGATGGTGTTCGCATAAAAATTACTAACATATTTCCTTCATCGCGAGACACTTTAGTGGATGCGCTGAAATCAAGTAGTCATCAAGATGAAAACCACTAGAAATGTGCAGCTGCAATAGTCGTTGGCGTCGGAGTGACTCCGGTATACTTTATGTGCGATAAAATTTCAGCATTCCCTCGCGCGCCCCGCTAACCTCCTGATTAAATTTCCTTTGCGATAATGCTGTTATATACACGTGAAAATATTTCCATTTAGTTTCAATATCGCATAAACTCAAATTCATTTCCTAGCCAAAATGTAAGTAAAGCGTTGCTTGTAAGCATTAAGGAAAAATTGTGCCTGTTTTCTTGTTCGTAATAAAAAAGAAAGTACCACTGTTCCACAAGACCCCCCAGATGGTATATTTTACAGCAGTATAGAAATACGCCCTTAATGTGATAATGTACGAATGTCGGGAGGATTTCTTAAGTGAATGTGTACAGACGTTGCATGACAGAATTCATTAAATGCCGTGCGCTTGACATAGTATTTGGCGACCCACCAACCTTAAAAAAAAACAACAGCCTTCTAATATAGTTTAAATTTGTATCTTAGCAGACCGAGTAGACAAAATTAGTTGCAAAAAACCGAGCTTTGCAGAATAAAATGCCGTTTTTACGTTACTTTCAATAGCATGTGGAGGGCTGTAAATATTTAAGAACGGTAAATAATACGCGTTTTTTACATTACGTTTGTGACAACCTAGCGAATACAATGTGCAATGTGGTCATTGTGCTCTTCGATGTGATCTCTCCCTCAAAACCTTGTAACACAGAATATAATTTGATCCCATTCATAATGCTCACTCTAGCTTTACGCAGATTTCTCCTGACACCGGTAAAGTTGACTTAGGCGAGAGTTGAGGCGACGTCTGTTGACAAACGTTAAAAAGAGCTCCAGGGCTGCAGGAGAGGAAAAACAACTAGTAGTGATTCAAAGGTTCCACTTGCGGCCAAACCTCCCGCTCAACACAAGCACCCCTCGGACGACGAACGGAAACTTCGCCTCCATTAAAGCCTACTGTCCATTTCGCCACTGGGATTTCGTCGAAGTTGCCTACGGTCTTCAGACGAGCAGTTCCACACATTCGATGCCTAACCCAATCACCAGGTGCTGATATCCCTAGTAATGGCGATCAGCGCCATAGTTTCCAGCAGGAATTTCTTTCTACGTACAATCATTCATTGCTCACCTGAAAACGAGGTGTCATCGTGAGAGTAAAGGGGTCCTCCCAGTCAAGAACAGCAAGCGGCACATATTTCAACAAAAAAGCTGTCGGTATGAATTTTTATCCAATATTTGACCTTGTTATAGGACCAACAACACAAAACGCAGTCAACTCCTCTTCTTTTCTATGTGTGCTAAAAAAAGGATTTCATTAATGCTTCTAATGAAGGCGCTTACTAGCGCTCTGTTTTAGTAGTATAATTCCAATGATCGACGAATGGAATTGTTGCGCTCTCCTATTGCAGATTATTGCGGCCAGACAGTGGTCTAAGAGTTAATGGAATCCTTGATATTATCTTGCAAAATACAGGACTGCTGCCGAAAATACTATAAATACTACGAAATATTGACGTGTTTTCACACGCACTACTGCGCCTGTGCAAATAAAAACTGCCAACGTAAAAGCGCCACTAAATTTTTCGCATATAGCGCGATCAGAAAGCAGAGATAAAGAGACAATAGAACTTAAAGTCAGCAAAAACAGTCCACATCGGTAGCAGGATCCATACAAACACGGAAAGCTGCTTCAACAAACCCGACTGCAACTTACGCCAAATGACTCGGAAGCACACTTTGAACGAACAGAAGTCGCTTTGTGCATAGCAGTTGTCAAGTATTGACAACGAGTGACCCTCAGGAAAGTTCATGCAAATACCTGTATTCGTGCGTTCAATGCCGTCTAAAAGGCAAGAATCAATCGAAGGCATTCTCTTGTTTCTAAATAAATGTGAAAATCAGCAGTAGGTAAGATTTTAAAAGAATTCGAGACAACGTCCGCTCAGATAAAGGTAATGTATGTACAGCGGTGGGCTTACTCATAAAATGTCAGCCGAAATTCCGAAATGCACTGTTGTTTTAAAAGGAATAATTAAGTATGTTTGTAAAATTGATCATCATGCAGCATAATTATTAAATAATTTAGTTACTTCAGGATGTCGGATTTTGAATGAATTTTTGCCGACTGAATGTAAAAACAAAATCCATAAAAATGCCTTCTTAATTAGCATGCATTTTGCTCATTTATTTTCGGTGACCTTAATAAGTTAATTATATTTCATGGAAAATATGCATAGACACATTCATTCTCCTGCTCATTCGGTAAAAAATGACGTCTTCTTTCAATCATATGCTCGAAGGAGGGGTATACTTCGGTTTTCAAAAACATTTCCAGTTCCCGGATAATTTCGAATCTGACGTGTCGTTATACTTGCATTCAGGGTTTGCCAGCTACAAGTCTTATATTTTCCGCATAAAGAAAACCATACATTTCTCTACGGAATTAGGAAGAAACCATATAGGATTAATCAAGTTTAGCAGTGGATTTGGGCCACATTGTTTACTTTACAAGCCACATTGATAAATATAGGGACATGGGGTTGTATGGACGGCCATTTCATGGTGTTAGAAAATCCACAATTAGAAAATTTTTAACTCCCAATTATGTCCCTCCTTAGGGTATAAATTAAGAAGAATTCGTAAATTTCCTTTGAGTACGTAATTGGAAGAAAAAACGACAGTTTCTGCCGAATGAGCAAAGGACTAGATATTCTTATGCATGCATTTCATGAAATACAATTGAACTATTAAGGAGACCGATAAACCAATAAGGAAAATCTACGGTGTTTATGTGGCCTTCTTTTGCAGAGTGTAGTTTATGCATGCAGTCGGGAAAAAGTTCACTCGAAAGCCAGTATCCTGAGGCAACGGAAGTATTATAGAATTGTGCCTTACGATGATTACTTTTGCAACAGTACTTAATTAATCTTTTTGAAACGAAAGAGCCTATCGGAATATCAGTTGACATTTCATGAGTAGGCCCACCTGCTGTGCACAATCCTTATAGAGATGAATATTCGAAGATAGAGTGTAAGCATGAGCAAAAATGAATAAAACTGATAAAAGCATGACCTTCCCAAATCGTGCAGAAGCCTGTACTCAGAGCTGACATCAGTAACAGAACGGACGACAGTTATAGGCTATATTAGCCACTAAGCGGTCCTTGGCGTAGGTATGGAGGTGGGTTCACAGAGTTCTGTCTCTCCGAATGTCTCTGATGATGGATTTGAGTGAGACTACGAACCGCCAGGCCAATAAATTTCTTGTTCCAGTGATCGCATCTTCGTCTTCTGAGGGTTCAGTATGCCAGCGCTAACTTGATACGTCGATCGGCCCAGGCTATAATCGATTTGCAAGCGGTCTTGGTTCCAACATGATCGATTCTTTTGGAGGTTGCAAAGTTGAACTCGCGGCCTGTTTCTGTGTTGTGGACAGCCCCGTCGCGCAGCCAACTTATATTCCTGCATGCCTGGTCAAACCATGCGTTCAGCTTGACCTGCCTAGTAAGCAGGACGGTTTAGACAGGAAATGCTATACACCTAGTTCAACTGATTCCTGGTATTTGGGCCGCCATTTCTTATCGGATATTCTTTTGCTGCTTCTAAATCTGACGATGAAAATTTAGGCATGAATATACAAATTGTTCGGGTGTCCGGCCGGTTATGTTTTCCGTTACTCATTAATTTGGTCGTCATGTAGTAAATAAGCCCAACTCAAGATGATCCATTCAATATTTTGACAATGTTTTTGTAAATTATAGTGTATGGAAAGCAATGCAAAGGGCCTTCCTAACTGGGAGCGAAGTAAGCAATTTTTGTTAATGTGTTATTTGACTTACCGCATACTGTACATTTGACTTGCTCGCAAACTATTTTTAGTTTTCGACAAAACCCATTATCTCTAGCAAGCCAGGCATCGCATGTTAAGTTGCAAATAAACAAGTCGCTGAATATGTGCGAACGAATCCACCTGAAAGGTCCGTTATTTACGTATCACTTACCGAAACGCTTTTTACTTCGAAGCCTCCTGGTCGCGTGAACTCACTGTGAGGCGTGAAAATATATTGCTACTAGAAGGGTGTTATGGATTGTGTGAACATTCAAGTAAATTTTTGTATTTCGCAGTTCTAATAAAAACCCGGCCTTGACTTTATTGCGTTTAAGTCGACACTACTACCCAGATAACGTTTTATAAATCACTTAAGTCAAGCGTCAATTTTTAGGGTTCGACATGTCACCCTAAACGCCTTCTAGGTGACTAAAAGCACATCACATACTCCTGGACAACCAGTGAGCTTATCATGTATGGCCGTCATTGGTCCGTAAATTGTCCAATCAGACTCAAGTGGGGAAAAGTCATTTTTAACTTTAATCTCCCTCACCAGCAGGTCACTGCAATAACGCAGGCATGCGGCTCTAGTCCCTCGAATTGCAAGCCTCCAAGAAGACCAGCTGCAGTCGTTTGCCTTGATGTTATCTTACTTTCGTGATCGATTTCAATACAGTTGGCATGGTGTTCCCCTGTCCAAAGGGATCATAGAAGGCCCCATAAGTACAATCTCCGAATGCGCCGAAGGCCTAGCAGTCAGAGGTCGGCAGGCGTCTTTGGAATACAATAAAGGCCCTTCAAGTCAGACGCAAGCCTGGTCGAAACCGATAAAGTACAAGCCAAGTGAATACGGTAAGTTATGTGGTTACAGAGTAGCAACCGGTTTAGCGCAAACAAAGATATTTTTGCAAATAACCACTGCTTGTTTCTTGTCTATATTGTTTCCAATTTAAAGACAAATTCCGTCGAAAAAATGTTTTTGCTGTCCGGTCATTTATAAATTTTCGGTACATTTGATGCTATCGGGTTGGAACGAAAGGGCGTCTGATTTGCGAACAGAGGACAACGAACAGAATTTGGCGAAACAGTACCTGTTTTTGCCTACATGACAGGGAATATTGGTGCTGTCGAGAAGAACAACCTGCAAATTAACTTCAAGTGTTGCTCTCAATTGATGAATCGTGCTAATTCTGGGTTGGGTGCTCTAATGCGCGTCAAAATACTACTGTCTAATCCGGTGTTGTGCTGCCTATCGACTGGACTAGGCGTTCATTTTTGGGGTAATTCAGGAGCTTGCTTAGAGCATTTCTAGTAGGTGGCATAAAATGCCCGAATTTCATCGGAGGACGCTTTGCTTAACAGGGCTTAACAAAATACCTCACGAGATGAGGATGCTATTGCTAAACTAATAGGTAACAATGAGGAGCTGCTACGTTAGGAAAGCTAATTGTTTAAAATGAGGAGTAGCGACCTTAGAAGCAATTATTCGATCATTGACGAGCACATTTATCAAAGAAACCTAAGGCGGCCGGATTATTTATCGGTGTTCAAGAGACTAGTTTCATTATGCCGCCAGTACAAATCAGTGGGCTACTATTCAACGCACTTATTTAGCGATTTAAGCGCTGAGATTGAACACTTTTTGTGCTTAATTAACAAACAACCTAACGCGTTACAGAGCAACGAGAAGTGACGCAGAGAAGAAGATACTGACGTAAAAATCCAGAGAGACCCAGATCGCTATTTTTGGGTAGGGAGATTTTGCACCTTCTAGAGGAGTTGGACCAACATACGACCCGATCACGCGTCGGCGCACGTTAATGGGCTGCGCACTCAGAACAAGTGTCATACGAGGGATGTGCGGTGACATGTCCTGACGCGAGATTGCGCCGCCCAACATTTGCGCCCGATCCTGTCTTATTTACTTGGCCTTGGCAGCGGACCCAGCTGGGTGAGGAAAGAGAGAGGGCTGTAGGTGCGGTGAAGGTGTGTTCTCGCCGTAAACTAGTTGTCGTACAAGTCACTGTCTCCTCGTTCAGCATTATCTGAAATCCTCGGCAACGACGGTCGAAGTGCCAGCCTGATTTAGAAAAATTTTCCCAGACATTACTAATAATTGACATACAACATTAAGAAATATCTTCGAGAAAGTCTTTAATGAAATACATTACAAGATGTGGATAGTACTCTTTGGAGAATTGGAAGAAGAAGAAGAGGGGATGCCACATCAACATCGCATTACACTCCATTGTCATTAATGCAATTCCTTATGTTGTTGCATGATTTCGTCGAAGAAATCTACAACTGTCAGCTTCACGCTTCCTGTTAAGAGTAACTGTCTCTTGATATCGTTAGTGTCGAGAAAAGTACTACTGTTCTTAGCCCTGATTTGGCGGTTTCAATACCGTTATATTTGAAAGATTTTACTAAGAAAACACATTGAGCGCCAAGCCAGACCACGTAGGAATGTTGAGTATTTGTCACCGAATTAATTTTATTGTTGATACAGTTCCAGGAACCAGATTACGAGAAGTAGAAGCGGGTGCTAAAACAATTGCTTTATTCGCCCGACGTTTCTGATTCTCTCTCTCACCCATCATCAGAAACAGTAGCACAAACGGGTGATTAATGCACAGGGAGTTTCGGTATTTATAGGATGCGGTCAATATGCTACTGCACACCTATGATAATTAATCGCATTCCGCTTTATCGAGAATTGTTGCCCGCTGGTGAGCTAATTGCTTGATGGCCGACATGCAAGTTGTTAATTCCGGAAATCTCGTCACCCGTGTTAGATGCTGGCATGATGATTGCTCGGCTCTCCGGCTCACCGGCCTGCGAGCACCCCGAATGCTTAATTACTTTGGTCAGAATATGGCTCAGCACGGAATATGGAGTGAAGATGCCGTTGCCTTGTTGGTAGACCGAGATCCCACGAAGTATGACTCAAGTAACTCGCGGCTCACGCGAGTATCACCTCTCGCGAGAATGTCGGTCTGATTGAACTTAAATGTGCGGCTGGATCCCGTCACCCATCAAGCAATTAGCGCACCAGCGGGTAACAATTCTTGATGATGGGAAGCGGAGTTAATCATAATACGCATGCGGTGGCATAGCGACTGCATACTATAAAAACTGCAACATTCTGTGAAAGAATCACCCGTTTCTGCTACTGTCTCCGATGATGAGTTCAAGCGAGAATTCGAAAAGTCAGGCGAAAAAAGCCATAGTTTCATCGATCGCTTCTAATTCTTATCAGCTCAACTCTGCGCGACGTATAAACTGGAGTCGATGGAAAAGTAGCAGAGACAGCTACTAATGGATGCTGTCATTAATGAATGAATGGGAGTCCCATTGTGAAATAGACACTTATGACTTGTAAATCGTTCTTAGACTGACCCGCTTCGTCATGGGGAGAAAGAAAACAAACCTCCAGTCAGCGGTCAGCAAAGCAAAATCAAATCTTTAAAAACAGGACGGATGGCCTGATCAACACAGAAGATTAAGTGTAGTTGTACATATTCCTAACCCGGAACATTGTAAATAATTATATGAAGGTAGATCCAGTTTATCCCTACCGACTCGTTCTTTTTCAAATAGTTAAGATCGGGCACATTTTTTACAGGCAAAAATGTAGTTAAAAACAAATTTTGAGATTTTTTGCTGGCGTTTTTCATTCCATTCGATTCCATTGTATCCGCCACCTCACGGGGAGTAATGTCACTCGATTATTAAACAAACAAAGAGACACTACTCAGATCTGACACGAGGTTCGGCGCAGTCTGCGCAAACCGAACAAAAGAGCTCTTTCATAAGTGATAGAGGGGGGGGGACGACTTCGACTACTTCGTTTTGGAGGAACATATTCTGATAAAGACAGACGAATGCAAATGTATTCAGCTCCGTGAATCCCTTTGTATCCTTGTTGTCATCGAGAAGAAGGTTGTAGCTACGGGCTTTGCCGTCCCCGAGAACAGCCTCCATCAATTGAGCGCTATTTAACCCAAAAATCGTCGGTGAACAATAGGATATTTGGTTTCGAAAAAGAGGAAGAACCGGGACTTATAGAAATATACTCTATCGTCATCCTCACAAAAGTCAAACAGACATGTCTCTAATGACGACATATGCTACTTCGCGATATTTAGAAACGTGTGATTTGGATTGATACCTCTTTGCAAAATAACATGGAAATATTTGATACATTTATCCGACTGTCATCTACCCTGCTCTGGACTAGTTAATTTGCAATAATAAAGTAGGAAATCAGCTTCCTCGGAGTAAAAAAATAGAGACTTTATACAAGCCGGGACAAATATGTGTAAAATAGTTGCCACTGGAGAAACGCCGATGTAGGTAAGGCTACTGAGACAGTGCTCATAAATAAACCAACAGAACCCCACCAAGACGCGCAAAATTTACCCAGCTCTTTTTTTGAAAGACAGGCAAAAAATTTACGGGGACGGCATCGATAAAATAAGAAGCAAGATTATAATGTGCAATTCAGAAGAGTACAATTTTAGTAACGCCAAGCCAAGAATTTTTTTGCAAAAAAATGACACCTTAAGTATGCAAGCCTACCAAATGTGCCGTGCCTTTGGGTAAAAGTATCCGAAATGTTCGTTTCCTATAGTTCTGATTTAATGCTCGGGAGTTTACTCCCAAGAATATCAGTTAGTTTTTGAACAGGCGCGAAACAATATCGTTTTAGAAGGGACAGTTGGGCGGTCATTGCCGACTATTCCCATTGTCTGTCCTGAGGCAGGAATGACGCAGGAACAGTGACTTACGCGTGAGTTGGGTTTATGGTAGTGGCAAACTTGCGCTGCATCCAGCATGGTCTTTCATCCCCCACCGACCTTGCTCTGATGGCCTCGGTTTCAAGCCATAGTCAAAAAATCTGGCTAGGCGCGGTGATTTTAAAGCCTGTCTACGCTTGTCCTACGCGTCCTGCCAGCAAATCTGTTATCTAAACTTTTACAGAAACAAGAAGGAAGCGTTCAGAATCCATCTGCGTATAGGTGCCGTAGAGACTGTACTAAGGAGGAGCCATTGCAGCCTGGTTTCCCTATCTGAAAGGCAAACCGAATTATCCTGTGAACTAACAGCCTTCCAAAACGCGACCTTTAAAGCACCCCTGGGTTAATCTTGATTTTTCCTACCTGTCCCAGGTACCAGTTCACTGTCCTAGCAGGCAAGCCCTCTAGTACGGGGGCTGGATGCGAGCGACTTGAGTGGCGTGAACCTGCGCCTGGGTGTGCAACCACCTACCACACATGTGTGCAATATGTCAAGGGTGCGCAGCCTAAATAACGCATTGGGTACCCTGATACATCTTCCATGGTTTTATCGCATTTGTTCCGTGGAAGTTGCAAGCTCATAAATAACAGAAATTATATATAGAAGCGGATATTTACAGTGACTGGGATGGGGTTTCCGGCATTTTTACCATCCTCAGCTTAAAACATTTAACCCTAGTTCTAGATAAATGGAGATTCGAACCAGGTCTCTCTAGCCACTGAGCGCTAAAATGTACAGCCCTTCACAATTAAGACATGGGTCCGTTGTCTTTATGGTTGTGATCAGGAATACTTATTATCAAACAAGAGACGTTTACCAATCAGATTGCATAATGTGCTTGTTGTCTAGCAAAGACCTAAAATGTTGTCACTGAGTCAGCACACTCGGTACTGGGAAGATATATCGATAAGAACAAAAGTGGTTGCGGTGAATTTGTGTTAATATTTAACATACAGACAACACAGGTACTGGCTAAATACCCAGACACGCGCGTTTCGCCAATCGCGTGTCGCCACCTGACGCACCTGAAAAACTTTGGGCTCATTAGCGGGTCCCCCTGTCTTCACGCGTGTTTTCTGATATAAAAAATTCATTTTCACTCTGCTTTGTTTGATGTCCGAGGAAAATAATGCGCTAGTTTGGAGGTAATCCTTTGGAACAGAACTTTTACAAGTACGGTCTGAAAATTAATACGAATATCTCAACCGAAATCTGTGTTTGCACATTCATTTCCACGAAAATTAAAAAATAAAAGGTAAAACTGAAGTCCATATACCAGAAAACACAGAAAAATCTAGGATGTACCCATTGATGGACCGACTCCCTCGCGGTGACGTCAAACAACGACATAACATCGGCGTAACAGACGTGTCTGGGCTATTATCTAGTATCCGTGTTGTCAGTTCTGTAAATAAGTATCCAATTCTATACTACTGGCTGCCGGTCGGCGGTTATTCCGCAGTAGCTGATGGATTTCAGCTCACATATTCACATCAAATTTGGACCATGCCTGAAACGGTCTGCTCCGAAGGATTTACCCCAAGTTCACGAATTATTTTCCTCTGAAAGTAAACAAGAAAAAGAGGTTTGGTTGGTTATTTCTGGTTTATTAGTAGTCAGATAATAATTGTTATCCAAAAACTAACCGGAGATAACTAAATGTGCGCCAGTGCAGTCATATTCGCAGTTGGCCACGTAGCTAGTAGTGCCGTTTGGCAAAAGTGGCTGGTCGTTAGAACTTTGGACACAACTCTAGGTCATTTCCGACTGTGGTTTTTAAAATGTTACTCAAGTAACTACCTTAGATTTTGCGTCGTCAAGCGGTCTGACAGGATCGCGAAAAGTCGAATTTTGAGTCAAAACGCTGAAGAAAATAAACTTGTGAATTCTGAAGTCTGTACCCACAGAAAGACTTAAATAGCCTGATGATTGGCATAAATCTTCAGAAATAGCGGATAACTTCAACTTCTCTGATCGACGCAACGTGCCATCTATTCAAGCACATTTATGTGGATCACAGAAAACACTCCGACGACCTCACATACTGTTTTCCATCTGTGGTAATGCAGAAAAATGCTCTCTTAGGTAGTTGTGATTGAGCTGATTAGTTTAGTGTTTAAAGAATATAAAATAGGCCGATGCCTATAACGGATTAAAATGGTTTAGAGTAAAAAAAGGAGATCCTTAATGTCATGCTTCGCCAGTTGTCACTGCTGCTTCTACAAGATTGCGTTTGACACAGAATTAACGGATTATCACACCCACGCAAGCTCATTTAGGTTGATGACTTCATAAAACCATTGATTCCGGGTTAAGAAGTGCATTTCGTCTAAACAGCAGTGCATAAGAGGACAAACACATAATCATGTCATTCCAGACGAATTTTGTGAGGGGCTAGAAAGCTTGCATTTCAGCAACATAAAACGGCAAGTTTACATCGGAAATGCAAATTTGTTTAAATTAATAAAAACCTGCTCAACTATGAGAAGTGAGCTATAAATTTTGTAAACAGAATGCAAATTTAGTGGGAATTTATTCGGTACAGGTAGAATTGCCATAGTGATGAGTGCACCTGTGAAATATTAAAACTTGAAAAAAAGTCATGCCGTTTGAAAAAAGAAAACTATTTTTTCTTCGGTAAAATTGGCGTTACCAATCACGACTGTAAATCACTGGTACTTAGTTCGCCTCTAGAAGAATAAATTTTAGTAATTATATACTCATGTATTTCTTTAAGTTTATTATAAAATCCTGTGCTAACAAGACAAAGAAAAAATAGCTCAATTTCATAAAAGGGTAAGTGTAATGTATGATCTGTTACTCATTAAATGTTAAACGGACATTTGGACTGCCTTTTCGGTCAGTAAGAATTTGTTAAGTATGATCATCATGTTGTATATCGTGGAACCACAAGCGCGACAGAATGACGCCTTTTAAGTGCACTTTCACTTAGCCACCTGCAACAATCTTACTCAGTTAATAAATGGCTACGTAAATAATATAATGTTTTCCGCTTTTTGAATATAGCTGTGAATTCAAATATATTCTACGAACAACATGAACCAACAGTTTTCCTCTGTTTGTTGTACCAGTTTATATCTTCAAAGATTTATATCTAAAAAAGGTCAACACTGGACTTTTAAAATAGCTTGTAAGATCTTTTATGACCTTGAAATATTTAGTACTATATCATCGCATCTGTCCGTTTAATAATGTCGTTTATGAAATGTGTATCATGGCCCACATCCATTACGAAATTCTGTGAGTCCTATATGATGTCTTCTAATTGGAAAACATGTGTGTCTTGCCTTTTCTACGTGGAAACTATACACATTTTAGACTTTAAAACCCGAAGGCAAATGCGACGACAGACTTGACTCAAAAGTATTCGAAAAATGGTGAATTCTTTTGAAACCTCTATGCGTCCTTTCTTTATGTAAAAAAATTGGAGAAGACGTGAATTGCTGTTAACCATGCACAGGAAGACAAAAGTATGTGCATGGTATGCTTCAATTGTACTTACATTTTAGGGATTATTAAAATAATTGCAAAAAACCATGCTGCTTACGCAGCCATTTGTTACCGAGTGTGATTTTTGCAGACGTTTCAGTAAGAAAGCATTCAAAGGCCGGCACCCTGAAGCGGTTTTATACTTTGCAGTTTATGATGCGAGGAGTTCAATTTGACAGCCCCACTTAACTTACCCCTCTGAATCCGGAATGCAGTTAACAATTCCGATTGGGATTTCATTAGATTAATCGTTGACTGTGATGCATGCTGTTATGTTACTATATTATATATTATGTATACTTTATATTATACATAGGTATGAAGTATACATTATATCATTATTACAGTATTATATTATATCTGTTTTATATTATATTAATATATTTTATTATAATATTATATACCATATATTACTATAGTATAATAAGCTGAAGACAGTGTTTTGACGAAAATAACATTTTATCGCTACGAATGGCAGGAAACGGTCTAGACCTCGGGATTGACTTGCAACTTACGTCTCTGGACCAACTTTCCTTCCTAAACCGCTCTAACGCCATATTATCCCTTCGCGACCTCTCTCATTTTCGTACATTGTGCATTAAAATTGCACCAAACTTTTTGGACTTCCTGTACAATAACTTCTAAACTTTGAAAGCGAGGAGTCGAGAACTCGGCCGACTGGACCCCGCGCTCTATGTGAGTGAGAAAAACGAGGATCTCTACGATGTGCCTTTGGGCCACTTAGGCCGTCTGTGGTTTACCCTCTCCTATGATCAAACCAGCGAACGTCTGCACGTTACGGTGCACAAGGCACGAAACCTGCGCTCCCCCAATTACCGATCACTCAGATTTTCCATCGGCATGCCGGCGGATCTCACTGCACTTAGCATCCTCACACCGGTTCAAACACAAGACTGTCGCGTAAAGTAAGTTCATGTGGCCCACAAAAATGCATTTTCTACTGCACTGTAGCTTCATAACTGCGTACCGGGAAGGCATCAGCTGTGCGGCAATGTATTCGGTGGATATACCCGGCTAAATGAGATGAAATTAGTCGCTAGTCCGTGCAACAAGATTTTGAATTCTCAAGGACCTTTTGTTCTTGGGTAAAAATCAAAATGTCTGTGTCGCGGACCAGCTGCCGGAAGCCTATCAGAAAAAAGACTGTCGATGGTGATCAGGCGGATATTTAATAAATTAAGATTTTCCTGAAGGAGGAAAACAAATGCCTTTTAGCATAACCGAGACGATAAAACATGACAGGTAGCGAACGCTGGTGCAGACCCTGGGAAATCTGAATTGAGGCCACGTGGTGGCGCTGAGTAACAGTTAACGTGATTATCTTGACTGCGTAAGATGCAACTTCTGCTATTGAGCATTCTCATTTAGTCCAGAAATATTTCCATATGCAGCTAGTTGTCTGCAGAAAAAAAACAGATATAGAAGGCTGTTTGGGAGCAAGATTACTCCCGTTGTTTGGTTTTCTCAGTATTTGACTGGCAACCTGTAGAATATCAATTTATGCTGAGGTCTATAGGCTCAGACCAATGTTTTATGTATGAATATTTGGTCCGAAGTCCAGCAGCAATAAGTTAATGACCGAGAAATGTTCAGTAACTGCCGACATGAAGCCAGTAATATATTTTAAGGTTCAAAGATACTAGGTCGATACTAGTTAAAAGCCCATACGCACGGGTTTTGCCGATACTCTACCGCTGCAAGGTGCAGCTGCGAGGCGTTCGGAACTTCAGCGATTCCTCTGGAATTCCCCGGTTTGCGCCTATGGAACCGAATATAAATGGATCTACTCCAAGTCAGTAGTCATTTTCCTAGCAAATTTAAAGCAATAACTGCTAAATGGAAGTGTCTACCAGATAGCACACGGGGAATTCTATGGTACCCACTGGACAGTCAACCTCAAGCTAATGTGCCAGGCGGAAGCAGAATATTGGTGTAGCACCCGTGTATGTGTTTTTAACTAGCACCTGTGCTAATATTATGGTACCTTTTGGTGCTAAAATATAATGAGAACTGTTTCAGATTTATTCCGTCCAGTATATCACTGACCACCGCCTCGTACTAATGATACAAACTTGAGGACGGGCAAGGCGCAAATGATTCACGGGTGGAATCTGCCCTATGGGCTATAAGTACTTCATCAAAAAGAAGTTCATTTGTTTCTTGCTACCCGACATCCATCATCCTTGATGATCGAGTATTTATTAAAACATCAGTATGCGTAGAATGATATCTTGACTTGGGAAGGCAAACGGTAATCGAATTGGCGGCAAAAGTCAAAAACATGCAACGAACTGTCAGGCCAAATAAAAAAGTAGACTGGCACAGAGCCGGTTTGAGTTTATTCTGCATTTATATAGTCAGGAATAATCCTGTTCACCATATGGGAACGCAGTCATCTACACAAGGGCTGCGCAGATGGCTCACAGACGGCGACAGTCGGGCCGTTCATAGGCCTCTTAAGGAAATGATAGTTGCAAACACCCCGCCAGCTGGCATTCGATGTCATTGTGGACAGTGTATACGTTCCTACCCAAATAAGCGCCATCCGAGTCATCGGTCTTTTGAAGGAAACAAAAACCGGATGTCACAACCAGACAACCAGCATTCTGCCTACCGTGGTTGTTCGTTCGAGTTCGGTTTGTTTGGAAAAACAGGTATATCAGTGTAAAAAACTCTCATAAAGTTAGTGAAGACTGTTATATAAATAAACGCAAACTGGCGAAGAAGATTGTGGTAAAAAATATTGAACGAAAAAAATTGAGGACGACATTCATCAAAGATTCCGGTGCAATAAAATTGATATCAATTGAGTTTTTCCTGACAGAACCCTCCTTAGGTTTGTGATTTATGGTAAAAGAACTGTGCTTTAGTCTTTGGATTTCGCCGTCCGTATTTTTAGAAAAACGCTTAGAAGGAAAATATGTGTTGACAGCATATGAATTTGTCGACGATGCACGGTTTACACTGCCTATAAAATGAGAATATTTCAAATTGTCAATGCTAATTGTAATGCGGTAGACGTCAAAGAATATTAAGCACACATCAGTTATTTATCTCCTCAAACGAATCGTAAGCCTTGTTTTTAATTTAAAGTCAAGTTGTGACATTCCGGTCGTCTCTGCCGGCGTTGTCTATGCGGCGACCGTCTGATGATGGATTCGAGTGAGAATCCGAAACTTCAGGCCAATAAATTTCTTGTACCAGTGATAACGTCTTCGTTTTCTGATGTCTACTGTGCATTCCGCAGTAGAGTAAGAGGATCGGCACGGATTTCCGCGTGAGTTAGTTTGGAGCGATAGAAGAGTTGTGCAGAATCTACCGCACCCTCCCTCTTTCCGCTGACATCACACAGTTAAGAAGACCGGGGGCAGGAACGGGCGCAAGAGGTCGTCCCGGTTTGAACCCGCACCTAGGCGTACCGCCACACGCACTCATCTACAGCGGCCAATAACCAGGAGTTTTTGCCTCAAAAACGTGATGGGAGAGAGGCGACATAGATTCGCAACTGACATTTGTTACGTGTTATGTCATAATCAGCCTCCTATTTAAGAGCGATTTGAAATTTTTCTATAAATGCCGTTAAAATTTCATACATATCGGAAGTCGCCAATGAGGATACACCATGAGAAGAACAAAAACCTTACGTTTACTTTACGTTCTCTCACCTCTTTTGTGTAATTTCATGCGTTTCGATTGTTGATTCTTCTCAAGCTTTTGTGACGTGTCGGTCCTCCGACTTAACGTGAGTTACCTGTTCTTTCATTTTTAGACTCTACCTCGAGAATGCCAAAAAGAAATTCCAAACCTCCTCCACTAAAAGGCAAACAAATAACCCAACCTTCGAGGAGTCCTTTTCCTTTCAAGTAAGCTTCACCGTCTCCTTTGCATGCAGTCATCGCTGCTGGAAAACAGGGTTTCAACAGCCAAACGAACGATGCTCGCTTGCAGTTGGTTTACTAAGTAACCGGAATTTGTTTTGTCTACTTTAATGCGATTTATGTCGGGGAAATTTAAATATTTGCTGCGGAACAGGTGGTCCTGAATTTTGGGCACGCTCTGAGCGCACCTAGGCAGGGATTGACAGGCAAAGAGTAGAAATGTACAACGGTGTGTACCCCTCAATATGCGCCGGATACACATTCTCGTGTCCAGACTTCAAACCCAGCCCAAACTCTAAATCCCCTAAGACTAACTCAAAGGCTAATCTTAACCATCTACTGTAATACGTGGAGGGAGGTCATATTCCTGTGCTATACCGCATTGAAATCCAGCGGCCCTTGTATACTGGAAAAGTCTGAGAGCCCATCATAACGCGTTTAATAGTTTTGACCGAAGAACGCATCAAATGCATTATGTAAATTTTGCTACCCAAGGATGAAATGTGAATTCTTTATCGTTTTTGACCACTCTACAGCGATTTTTATTGATCGACCGTACGTCGTCACCGATCGGCTCAAACAAAAATAACAAAAAGACCCTGCGTCTGGCATGCGGCATATCTATCGTTGAAAAAAGCACCAGGGGCTAAATATATCATCTGTTTTCAAACAGCCCACAAAGAACAGCCAGTGTTCGTCTCTATTTTCAGCTTACGTTTTGCGTCGTCAACAGACCACACCTGAGACGGTAAATTTAAAAAGGGTCAAGGAAGTGGATTGGAAAAGCAATTTTGCTCAGGAAAAATCATTCAATCAAATAATATCCAAATTGTCTGTACGACGGAAAACATTATTCTATCGTTTGATTCGAAAAGGTAAATTTACATGAGTCCTAAATAATCCTGCATGTATTTTAAAGCACTGGATTTTAGTATACTGTAGGAAAAGCACGTATGTAGTTAGGTACGATATCAAGCACGAACCAAAACGTAGATGTTAATGTTAATAAAAATCAGAGTTGCGAAAATTTCCAGTAACAAATTCAAAAAAAATTTGGCGAGCATACTTCAGCTTTCGTTAAATCCTCTTTAGGTCTATATATTTATATTTCAATCAAAATTATTAAAAGGCAAATGCCGGCAGGCGGAAGATATTTAACTACAGAATAACTCCTACTTGCCAGCGTTTTCCTTTTAGTCATTTTGATAGCAATATAAATATACAGGTCTGAAGAGAATTTGTCGAAAACTTACGTATGCTCACCAAATTGTCTTTTAAGTAAAAGCAGGCTAATCATCGCGAACTTTCGGCAAAACGAAAACAATTCCATGGAAACAGCTAAATAAAAAATGTTCGGCGAGTGAAATCGAAATCTTATCCTACAAGTCTTTCTGATTTACACTCGAACCCATAATTTGGAGACTGGAACAGATACGCATTGATAGGCATGAAAAAGTTCAAATATTTGTAGAATTACTCTACTAAACAACAAGGGACCTCGCCAAATCAACAGCTAACACAATTGCTCAACACCAATGACTGCCAGATTTTCTCCATCTGAGTCCTTGGTTGTGCAATCGGCACTCCAACAACTGGATGGTTTGGATGCAGACGACTCACGGCGCGCATCTATCGGGCGGCGCTGTGTTTGCAAATCCCACAGTCAGTCTCGTACATACGTGTGTGTGTGTTTGTATGTGGCACGTGGGCCCTCCAAAACGGACCGCGTATTAGATGCAGTGGAATAACACGGGGTCACATTGAATTTTGGCAGGCTTTATCTCTACGCAATAACAAATGCCAACATCTAGGGGGGGCGTGGGCAGACCCTGTTGTCGGCAGTCGTCGCACAACTGGGACCATTGTCATCACCCCATTTCTTGTGGGTTAAAATCCTGGCCACTTGTTGAGAGGATCAGGGGGTGCGGAGTGGAGCGTCAAGGTGCGGACCAGTCCAAGCTATCCGACTGCGGCCTCCCTCATCTCCGGTCTTCTTGATTTTGTCTTAAAGCCGGGCTCAGGTGGGGGAGGAAGAGAGAGTGTGGTAGATGCAGCGCAAGTCTGCCGGCACTATAAGCCTCAGCACAAGTCACCGTCCCTGCTCCCACTACCTCTTGTGGTGCACACGGTGGACGTCGTCGGAATCGACGGTTTAACTCTCGTATGTAGCCCGTCTTAGCCGTCGACCAACAGACGCTTCGTGGAGCCCCAATGCGCGCTGCGCAGGCCTACAATCGCTTTGACATTGCATTTCCACTTCATCCGAGGACAGGAAAATAGAACTCCCGTAATACAGGCGAACTTGCCGTAAATGCCAGGATGATTAGCATTAGGGCGAAGGTTAGGGTTAAAGTTACGATAAAGGTTAATGTCAAAACTATGATTACGCAAGGCCACCTCTGCTACCTGGTGTCCCTGCCTCCCTTACTGATCCCGTCTAGCAAGGTGGGTGAGGGAATTGAGCATGTTCTGTAAATGCAGCTCATAGCTGGCCCACTCCCAGGGGCGCGCGGTCAACGTTTCAACAGTGATGGTCAAGAAGTCGCATTAGCTGTTGGAATACCATTGCCAATGTTGGTCCATTGGCGAAACATAGAGGACTTGCCAAATATAATAGACAGATTTTTACTTAACACGTACAACCAATTTGCGTTTCGCAAATATTCCCATGTTACAATTGAAAAGTCAAGTTGGCGAACGCATGTTTTCGGTAATTCTTCCTCAGGCCAATACAATTACATGAACGAATGAAAATGTACAAAATCAACAGTGTTTATAGATGCCTCAAGGGCTATTATGTCACTAACACTCATCATCCCCACGCCGCCCGCATGAGAAGGCCGGCGGGTGTTAGTCGTCAGAGCTAGCGGAGGAGGGTAGGAGAGTCTTTGAGTAATGATCTTGGGTTGAGTACACGGAGTACCCCTCATTGTGATTAGGGATTTGAGGCGGCATGGCATAATCGCTTGGGGTTGGCGTTGGCCACGGCAGCGAAAGCGCTTGTGTCAGAGTTTTCTGACAGCATAACACCGGATTCACTAACCGTATAGCTACGGCCTCTGCCGTTGCTAGTATCCGTTGGCGTAGGCCTTTAGAGAAGCATGTTGGTGTCCGGTAGACAACCTGAAATGCTTTCTTGGCATCGACTCGGTGGTTCGTATCGATTAAATGCGCAAGAATAGAACTCGAAATCGACCGGGTCTCACCTCTGTCTAGCCAGACGGGCATATGTTCACGCACCCTCTTTACCAGGCGTCTCGTTGTGCGGCCGATGTATCCTGCTCCACAGGAGCAAGTGAATGAATAAATGCACATTGATGTGGCCTCCAACGGTAGTCTGTCATTACCTCCCAAACGTAGGAGGGGAGAGTTTGTGAGGCATACGCGTAAATTCGCCGCAGGGAATGCCCTCGTGATAGCTGTAGTTAAGCGCCGTCGAACTTGTTTGCTCTCTGCGTCTCTAGAGCGTAGAGGTACTAGCTCTTGGCCCTAAGTTTTGTATTGCACGGCGGATGCCGAAACAATTAGAGCAAGAAATCCAATGTGGGAGTCCCTTTAGTCAGACTGCAGATCTAAAACCCACCGAAGCTAGAGAAGTTGATTGTCTTAAGTCGACTCGGGTTAACTGCTGCCAACGGTATCTAAGGAAGTTCCCGAGAAACAAGGGTCCCCTGAAACGGGCTCATATCGATAGCCTTACGGAGTTTCGTTAAAAAAAAAACATTGTGCTTACTAGACCGGATACAGGTTCAGGAGTAGTACTGATGGATAGGACGGATTATGTGGCGAAACTAGACGAAATACTGTCGGATCGTTCCAAGTTCTCAAAATCTGAGAAAGATAAGGATCGCACGGAGGCTGTCGAGGGTCAGCTGACGACTTTTCTCAAAGATCTCTGCAAAGAAGGCCATTTGTCTAGCAAAGAGTATGAACGACTGAGACCGGTGGGCTCGACAATACTAAGAATGTACAGCCTTCCAAAAATTCTCAAACAAGGGCCGCCTCTGCGTCTAATCTTGGATATGAGGAATTCGCCCTATCATACCGTTGCAAAATGGCTAGTGGAAAGACTAAAGCCATTGCAAAGTTACCTATACCCTCGAAGTTTAAAAGACTCCTTTGACTTCGTCGAAGCTATCAAAAATATGAACTTTGGGGTACGGAGGATGTTATCACTGGATGTATCGTCGCTGTTTACCAACGTAACCGTGGCAGAAACAATAAATTATCTTTGTGATGTTATTTGTGATGCGAACTACGCCATAGACATGCCTGTGAAAACGCTAAAAGAACTACTGACGCTTTGCACACAAAATGTCCAATTTCTGTGCAATGGTCAATTATACAGGCAGGTAGATGGTGTGGCAATGGGATCACCGCTTGGACCGTTCCTTGCAAATGTTTTTATGGGCAAAGTCGAGAAAACAAGCTTGCAAGAGACCATTAATGGCCTCGCCTTCTACCGTCGGTACGTGGACGATATCTTCTGCCTGACGGATGGTACCACCCATACCGAGGAGCTTGTCCATAATTTCAACAGTGCGCACCCCTCGCTAAAGTTCACTGCAGAGACCGAGGCAGCTAACCAACTTGCCTTTCTCGATGTCCTTCTGCACAGGCAAGAGGATGGGTCTATCCAGCGCAGGGTGTTCCGAAAGAAAACCTGGACGGGACAATACGTTAATTTCCACAGTTTTGTCCCCCTAAACATCAAACGGAATTTAGTCCAGGGATTGGCGGCTAGAGTGAGACGCATCTGCTCACCTGAAGCTATTGAAGAAGAACATCAACAGCTGCGGAACACACTTCGGGAGAACGGATAGCCAGATAGCCGTGTCAGGGGACCATTGTTTCTCGGGAACTTCCTTAGATACCGTTGGCAGCAGTTAACCCGAGTCGACTTAAGACAATCAACTTCTCTAGCTTCGGTGGGTTTTAGATCTGCAGTCTGACTAAAGGGACTCCCACATTGGATTTCTTGCTCTAATTGTTTCGGCATCCGCCGTGCAATACAAAACTTAGGGCCAAGAGCTAGTACCTCTACGCTCTAGAGACGCAGAGAGCAAACAAGTTCGACGGCGCTTAACTACAGCTATCACGAGGGCATTCCCTGCGGCGAATTTACGCGTATGCCTCACAAACTCTCCCCTCCTACGTTTGGGAGGTAATGACAGACTACCGTTGGAGGCCACATCAATGTGCATTTATTCATTCACTTGCTCCTGTGGAGCAGGATACATCGGCCGCACAACGAGACGCCTGGTAAAGAGGGTGCGTGAACATATGCCCGTCTGGCTAGACAGAGGTGAGACCCGGTCGATTTCGAGTTCTATTCTTGCGCATTTAATCGATACGAACCACCGAGTCGATGCCAAGAAAGCATTTCAGGTTGTCTACCGGACACCAACATGCTTCTCTAAAGGCCTACGCCAACGGATACTAGCAACGGCAGAGGCCGTAGCTATACGGTTAGTGAATCCGGTGTTATGCTGTCAGAAAACTCTGACACAAGCGCTTTCGCTGCCGTGGCCAACGCCAACCCCAAGCGATTATGCCATGCCGCCTCAAATCCCTAATCACAATGAGGGGTACTCCGTGTACTCAACCCAAGATCATTACTCAAAGACTCTCCTACCCTCCTCCGCTAGCTCTGACGACTAACACCCGCCGGCCTTCTCATGCGGGCGGCGTGGGGATGATGAGTGTTAGTGACATAATAGCCCTTGAGGCATCTATAAACACTGTTGATTTTGTACATTTTCATTCGTTCATGTAATTGTATTGGCCTGAGGAAGAATTACCGAAAACGTGCGTTCGCCAACTTGACTTTTCAATTTGCGTTTATTATTTTCTTTTATTGCTGTTGCTGATGATAAGCCGCTGTGGTAACTCAAAACTTTGGACGAATAATACTCGTTTTGAATCGGTTTTGTCTCCTCCAGAGTCGTACCTGTCTCTTAACTGCAAAGGGATCGAATTCTTAAGTCCGCAGTAGGTACATTGCGCCCGTAATTTTGCCGGCATTTTAAATCCTTACCAGTGAATCGTCTAACCTTGCTCCCACTTAGTTGGTCATGTCCTTTTGGCTGGAATAATTAGGATTTCCACGCATTTCCCGCATGCAACCAAAATCGTATGACATCTGCGACAAGCTAAACTGTACAAAAACAGATACTAACCATGCTTTTCTCCCGCCAGGGCACGCTCTGTGAGCGATGCTGTACTACAGAATAAGTGCTGCGGTCACCGATTTGTCCGTCATACTAGATAAAAGGGGGTTAATTATCATTTTTTTCTGAAGTTACTGGTGGTCGCCTAGGGGTGGGCGGCAAGCAACGTATGAATCGGATTTATCACTCCTGGCAGGCTTGTTGCTAGTCGGTGATGCGATATCGCGGGGTAGTATAACTTCGTAAGGGAATTTGGCGGTTATATCGAACGTTCCGCCAGTTGAATCGGAAGTCATGTCTTGCCGGTTATGATTGTTGTTATAGGCCGTCGTCAATAGTGGCATCCTTTGATCTTTCCCTTACTATCACAAATAGCTCTAGAGTCACAGCATACGGCGACTGATGCCGTTTAGGGTCATCTGAGACAATAAAAAGATATTTTGAGTCGCCTAAGGATGCAGTTCTATTTAGAGCAGCCTTGCAAACCCAAATTTCCCTATAAGGTGGGACTTAGGCGATTCTAGAAAACCGACGACTCCATAAACCCGGTTTATATCAATATAACGTTTAAACCTAAGGGATGATTTTTGGGTTGGTGTGCAAATATCAAACACACAAAGGCATTTCCTATACAGTTGCTGCATAAAGAATGTATGCGTAGGTTCTACATGCGTTTCACGTGCGAATATTTGAGTAAGACACCGAGAAAAGGTGAATTTCCTCGGATTTTTCGTAAATGCTGTAAAGCAAGCACGCATCGCAAACTGATAAATAGATAACCATAATACAAATACTGGAAGACAGAATGTTTAATGCTGTCACCGGTTTTTGACAGTGTTCTTAAGGTGTTCAGCAATCGAAAAACCGCAAAAGCTCTCAAATTGATGGATGGGCGCAGTAAGGTCTTACTGCATTAAACATTTAGCAGCATCAGCAGCGGCAGCTGGCGCGCCCCGATCTAACATCTATACGTTCTCGTCCAATCAGTCTCTCACCTATCTTCTCAATTTCAAATTCACCCCTATGACCGCCGTACCAAAACTAAACCACCTGCCCTCTCCTCCGCTCATTTTAGATACCAGTTCACGAGCTTCAGAGTCAGTCCATCCGGTTCGAGGTTCTGTCGGTCGAGAGAACCAAACGCAGCAAAGTGGTCGGCTTCGTATCCTTCCCACTGTCCGCCTTGAAGAACTCCGAATGTCAGTGGCAGCCGTTGCGGGTCGCACGGGACCTGCAACTGTACGAACTATCCAGTGTGAGTCATCAACGTTTGATGGGCCAGGACCTAGGTCGAAATGCTTCAAACATTTTGCTAGTCAGCATATATATCCAGCGGGCGGACAGAATGCGATCGAGCGAGATTCCAAAGTAAAAACTGCGGATTAGGGGCTTCCTGAACCCGTTTAGATACGTATGCTGAAAAAGTTGTCTGCCTCTGAAACGTTATATTTTTAATGTACGGTGGGTGAGCTAACTCGTAAAATGTCAACCGAAATGCCGATATGTTTTCATTCGGAAAAGATTAATCAAGTATGGTTGTAAAACTTATCATCTTACAACATAATTTTATAATCCTTCACTTACTTCAGATCGCCGCCTTTCGAACAAATTTCTTTCCGAATGCATGCAAAAGTATACTCTCTAAAAATGACTACTTATGTAGCATGCATTCTTCTCAGTGGTTTTCGGTGTCCCTAAAATTCCAATTATATTTCATGGAAAAGACGCATAAAAAATCAACTTTTTGCTGATTCGGTAGAAACTTACGTCTTTTTCCAACGTTATACTCCAAGATAGGGCACAATTTGGTTTAAAATAGTTTCGTATTGTAAAATTATTTGATGCTGCTAATCAACGGCAATGCCTCTACATTTAGCAGTGTGCATCGTAAAGTTAACAATATGGCTTAAATCCAATGCAAACTTTTATGAACCCCATATGGCCTCCTCTTAATATGGTATAGAAATATATAGTTTTCTGTAAGCGAAAAATGTATGTTTTGTTGCTTTGAAACCCTGAATACAAGCGTTGAGTCAGGTCGGGTTCAAAATTATTAGGGAATTGGAAACGTTTTTAAAAATTGAATGATACTCTTTCTTCACGTATAAAATGTAAGAACACTCTACCCCCTACCGAAAGGACAAAGAAATGAATATTTCTCTACATGTCTCCCTTGAAATAAAATTGAATATTTAACGGCATCCAACATCAATGGGAAAAAATGCTGGCAATATAAGTGGTCGTTTTTGACAGAGTGTAGTTTCTGCATGCAGCCGGAATGAAGTTCGTTCGAAAGCATGCATCCTGAGGTAACTGAGTTAGCATAAAATTACGCTGCAAGATTATCAGTTTTACAACCCCACTCAGTTAGTCTTTGCTAGACGAAAACGCATTTCGGCAGTTACGTTGGCATTTCGCGGGGTAGAGCATCTACTAAATTACTGCATGCTTTTATATGCCGCATAACATTATCAGCAAAAGCAAGGGAGGCTGAGATAATATTTTCTGGCGTCTAGACTGTCATCCACTAGCCATACTTGACCTCGAGGTGTGAAACAACTTCAGATGTGGTCTTTCGCAGTCTGCTGGCTAGAAGTCAAACTACCTATCATTTTGGCCATGAGATCATTGCCCCGTCGGCTGCAATTGGGTATATTAATAATGGCAGAGGGATGCACAACGATCAGGACTAGGAACAAGGGGACGAATGAGTTCCACAATGGGAAGGAACGAAACCTTATTGAGTAAATATTCCGAGGTTGTGTAAATTTACGAACAAAAAATTGGCCTCTCACCCACACCTGGCAGGTAAGAGTTCATAACACCTGTCTGAGGTCTACATGTGTACTATAAATATCGGAGATTCCTTTGTCTGGGGTAAAATTTATCTTCGGCGTCTGCCGTCCTAAAACAGGCACAACGCTTCCTGACGTCTGGTACTCAGATGAGTCATGTAGTAATCGCAATCCTGGTTTCGATGCCGCGGACAAAAATCCTAGGAAAAATCTATATAGCATTGCGCGTAGAGAGGTTGTTTATTGACGCAAACATTAAACAGGTACCAATTTTAAACGAGGCTTGAAATTCTGACTGTTATTTGCACATTTACTTAATGTCTGCTGTAGGGAAGCTCACCGATCGTTCTTACGGAAATTACTCGTTGAATTGTGTCTCATGGGCTCTCTCTCGAGCCCAACCAGCAGCCGCACTGCGGCACATGATACGGGCAGAATGGTATTACCGACAAAGAAAAAGGAGACTGGAATGACCATTTTTGTCTTATTAGCCGTCGTCAGCCAGTCGTATCCAACTCCGAGGTGTGAAACACCTGGAGCTCGACACCGTGACATGTTGATTAGAAGTCCGGCGCCTCTAACCTCTGAGCTACGCGCTTGTTGCCCTGTTGATTCCGATCGGGAATACACAGGGGTAGGAAGGCGCACACCGGTCGTTTTTACGGTACTCATTAGTCCCGTTGTGCCTTACGGTACTCTCTTAAAACCCAACTAACAGCCGCACAGCGGCGCATGATATGGGTAGAACGTTATTGCCGACAAAGACAAGGGGGAACTAAAATGGCTATTTGCGCTAATTAGCCGTCTTCAGTAGGTTATAATCATCTGGCCATATCATGCGCCGCTGCGCGACTGCTGGTTTGGCTTCAGAGAGATCGCTTAAGGCACAGCGGAACGGGTGAGTGCCATAAGAACGATCGGTGAGCGTCTCACCTGCATTGTGTGTTCCTAATCGCAACAGACAGGACAACGAGCCCGTGGCTCAGTGGTAAGAGGCGGTGGACTTTCAACTAACAGGTCGCGATTTATAACGCCAGTGGTTCCACATCTCTGGGTTAGGTACCACTGGCTGACGACGGCTGATAGACCAGAAATGGCCACTCCGAACTTCCTTGTCTCTGTCCGTAATAACGTTCTACAAAATATCTGTCCACGACGTGGGAACCAGCGTCGAAAACTTACCGAACAAGTTTCTATTTTTCCAAAAGTGCTAACCGACTTTTGGAAATGGTCGCTGAGGCACACACTCGAAGTTCTTCTTTGCCTATGCGATCGACTCATGCAGCATAATTGCGCCCACAACTTTTGTTGTCAGTGGACGCTCTTTCGACTGGCTTTTCGAAGTTCAGTGATTCCGCGTATTCCACCGAAAAGGTTTTAATTGCATGAACAGGATGACCAAAATCAACCATATAGTTACAGGTGACAACGATTGTACATGAAACTTCGCCGTTATTCAGCCGGGGCGAGATGTGTTCATGTAAATGTCTGGTATCAGCTCCTGGGACATACCTCTAATCCATTCCACGGATATAGCAAATAAGTTATGGAACATGCAGGGAATATGAGCTGGTATCCTACTCCTGCTTTTTTGGTAGAACCACTTGTATGAAAATACTAAAATTACCTACTTTCTTTTCTTACACACACGTTTAAATGTGCCTCGTCGCAATAAAATTGCATTTTCCCCATAAGACATAATCCAAAAGCAAACATCTGCCGGTCCAATTGTCTTATAATTGTAACGTTTTAAACAAGGAAATGCATAGGCATCAATGCGACATTTTTCTTAAATTTTCTTAGTGTTTTTGAGAAATCCTGTATGCTGAAACAAACGTTTGCTAGATAGTACTCCGATGCTGAAAGAATAAAGAAGATTATTTTCTAAGAAGTCCAGCATTTTTACACAAACGCGGAATTTTTATTTTATTCTAGGTTTTAAATTTCGTAGTATGCATTTTCCCCCACAAACATTATTATTGCTGTTTAAGTAATTGTGAAGTCGATCGCTTGTGGACTATACATGCTGCTAGGGTTCAGACTCATAGATGATTTGTAGGAACCTTCTGATGTGGTCTTTTTCCGTAAATAATACTTGCGTGAGCCCATGGTTCCAGCTGACGCGCGCGGGGCAGCATTAACACAATTTACTGCAATCTTTACTAGGCTGACGTAAAAAAATCCATACATATAGAGAAAAATTTAAATTTGGCACACGCACTTTTTCGATTATTTCTAGCAAAAAGTTTGCAGTAATGCAAGTAAGTTACGGTCGAGAATAAAACCACAAATAGGCAATGAACAGTAGTCATAGGAGGACGTAAGGGCCTTTAGACATACCAATAGCCCAGGGGCAATTACAATATATTCTGTTGGGTTCTTGGAGAAGGGAAGCTGCTAGTGAATAGTGCTCGGATGTAGACGTTAGAGGTTGGGTTGGCCTACCATATAGTCACTGCCTTAGTCGACGCAATTAATGACTAGTTTTGGAGCTGGAAATGGTCCGTCCGCAGTTCAATGTGAACTCAAAATCCCTAGTTGACATCTGCTGGGTGAGCGCCGTTAACCACGTCAGCCATAGTGATGCTAGCGATCGACGTTTTTAAAATGCTTCACTTACAGTGCGTGCCCAATCTCATGAAATGTTGGCTGAAATTCTGAAATGCGTTTTCGATTAGGACGACTAACTTGGTCGCGGTTGTGATACTCTTATAAAATTTTGGACTCGACAGGATGTCGGCTTTTAAATGCACTTCTTCTCAATCTCGTGTAGAAAGCGTGCTTGGTAAAAAATGGCTACTAATGTAGCATGCATTCTCCCCATTGACTTTCGATGGTCTTGGAAATTCAAATATATTTTATAAAATCCACAAATAAAAAATATGCTTTCTTCCAGAAAATCAATAGAGAATCGCGACCTCTGTATATTTTATACTTAAGGAAGGAGCATAATTAGGTTTTAAAAACGTTTTCTAATTGCCGAAAAATTTGGAGCCTGATCATTCGTTGCATTAGCGCTTAGTGATTACACTCTACAAGGTGCATGCGTTTCGCGTAAAGAAAATCCCATATTTTTCTATGCCATTAAAGAGAAACCATAAAGAGTCCATAAAATTTTGTAATGGATGCGGACCATTTTATACTTTCCTATGTGAATGTAAATATCGCGGTTTTAAAAGTCTCCTAATTAGAAACATTTTTTAAACCTAACTGTACTCCTTCCTTAAGTATAAAATATAAATTAGGCGATATTTTCTATTGATTGAGTTAAAGATAGCATATTTTTGTTTGTGGTTATTATAAAATATATTTGAATTTCCAAGACCATCGAAAATCGATTGGAAAAATGCATGCTACTTAAGTAGTCATTTTTTACCGAGCACGCTTTCTACAGGAGATTGAAAAGAAGTGCATTTAAAATCCGACATCCTGCCGAGTCCAAAATGTTATAAGAGTATGCCTTAAGACAATCAATATCACAACCGCGATTAAATAATCTTTCCTAATCGAAAACGCATTTCAAAATTGCAGCCAACTTTTCATGAGATAGGTCACGCACTGTATCCAGGAGGAATATCAGGTTTTCGTCCGTTTTGAAAAGCGCCTTATCTGTCAGCCATAATAACCTGCCGCTTGGGAGCAAGTGAAGACGTAAATGCAAATTTAAGCAGATCGAACGGACAGCCGATCCAGTCTTTCAAAGCTTAGAATCAGAATGCGTGAGAAAGTATATAGGATTTAAACGGACGCGTACGTGATCGCAATCGCAGTCTTAAAGCTGTTTCGTAGAAGTTCGACTTCTAGGTCTCCCGCCTTCCGATAAGTTATTGTGAACAATAGATTCTTCATTTTAAACGTAACCACACCCACGTCTTTTGGGGGTTCTTGAAATATTTCATTATAAGCCTTTCGGAAAACGTTTTCCTGCACTGTTTTTTTATAAAGGCGAGTTTGTACTCCAGCTTTTCCAGTGTGCTCATTTTCCCTAGCTCGGTTTGTTATTCAACGGAGTAAGCTTAACTTCTGACGTACAGAAACGAAACTTTGAAAGTGTGTATTTTACACTGCTCACGGTTTCCTGCTAGTCACTTTCTTACTTATTGTTCTACTAATTAGAACGTCTAGAAAAGGGCGGCACTGTTTTGCCGCCTATACCAAAGCGAATATAAATGATGGGTGAGCTTGGTTCTACTTGTTCACATGGGTGCTGATGAAATTACTCCATGACGGATCAGAGGCTAGGTCTAGGTACGCCGCAGAGCAAAATGAGTCAATACCACCCAACACAAACCTTCATCTTGAAATAAAATGGAGGGATTAGTGGTCCTCCTTGGGAATCTACTAAGCAGAACGTCTTATGGAACAGTCCAGAGAAGTGCATTTTGCGAGAAAAAGGGACGGGACGATACACAGCTCTTTATGATTCTAAAGTTTATCTGTGTGCGTCACTTACTTGTGTTATTAAGCAGGTTTGATGGGGAAAATCGAAAAGGTACGTTCATATGTTTTTTTTCGCGTAAATATATTCGCAGAACGCTCCAAAATAATTCAAAACTCTGGGCCGGGTTCATGAGACCTTTCTGGCCTCGCAGGACCGAAAATAGGCGGCATCCACTTTGATGCCGCTGCCATTATTAGAAAACAAAGGCTATCAGCACAGAAAACTGTCTTTATTCAGCACATACGGCTGCAATTTAAACCGGCAGAGGGGAGGAGAACGAGGGTTGTTGTTGTTGTTGTTGTTCTTGTTCCCAGTTGTTTTTTTTCATCGTATGTTTAGCATCTACTAGCCATTGCCTGCGTGCAGATGGCGTGGTTTCCCAGCATTCGTTTAAGACACCTTTTTATAGTTCTGTCCTCGAGAATGGGAAACCAGTACTATCTCTAAATAAGGTCGATTAGACATCCCAGGCGGCTGCCGAACTCCAATTTATATGTCACCCCTCCGTAGGGCTTTTGAAGTAGAGTTGCAGGGGGAAGTCGAGGAGGACAAGAAAATAATAACTAGGTGTAAATACACACACAACACCGTATATCCTCATCTGGTTTGGACCGCCGGTTACGTCGGCTAACGGAACATGACTGCTAGACAGAGCTTAGCTTCGGGGAGCCGATAATGAGGGTTAGGCGTCAGGCAAGAACAGTGATGAGCAGTCGCTATTTACACGCTGGGAGCTAGCACTCATGCACTGTTGCTCCAAACTGGACACCCCTGTGCTCCACAGGAATCGAATGCACAAGATGTGACTGGACTCGCAGAGCAGAATCTCCGTCCTCGCCTAAGCTCAGTATCTAAACCTAGTCAAGAAGACCGAAGGCCGGAGGGGGCGCAAATGGCTGACACTGCCGGGCCCGCACATAGGCGTGCCAATAAACCCCCTGGGCCACACAATAGTTGACCCGGGTTTTAGCCAACAACTAACACACCCCTCTAGTCCACAACAAAAGCGTTGACCATTATCTTAACAAACAAAAAGTCCGCCAGAAAGAGATGGTTAGCACAAGTCAATGAGCAACCATGTCTACGACCTGTACAACCAGCGGGAACGCAAGCGCATCCTACGCTTGGGAGTCAGGTGCCTAAGAGCGGTCAGCGCTCACCAGGCTGTGATGACCGTGGTTTGCTGAGTCCTGGGATAGGGGACGCATATAGTCCATTAATCCAAGAGAGGGTGAGACGCTAACCTGATTTTTAGCATGGACATATTGCAGAGTCATTATACGGACAGCCTGGGACAAAAAAAACGGGCAGCATATGAGACCGCCCCTTCTTCAAGTTTACTTAAGTCACACCCAAACCAGTAACCAACACTGGTGGCTGTTCCCTGAACCGTCGTGTGTAAGGACAACGTGTATACAATAGACTTATGAGGTCCGGCCATAAGGTGTCAACAGCTCCTCATCCGGTGGTGCCAACGTTTCACCGTCTAAAACATCTGCAATCTCAGTATCGGCTATTTTTCGGTTAGACCTCCAGTGCAGACTGCGTAAAATCGGTTTATTCCTTAAATAAAGCGAGAAAGTAAAGGTCGAAAGTCATATTTCATAATTACTGCAAACTATGTTCCCTACACACTAGCCGTGTGAACCCACTGAAGTAATCACGTCATTCGAAAAACAAACATAAGAGGATTTCGGATTAGTTCTTGGCGTCAATCACTCACTATCGGGGTTACCATCGGATGCTGTCCCAGTCACTTTTCATGTAAGCGGCGGGAGACTTCGCCTGTCCACATCTCCGGATAAGCAAATGGGAAAGATTCAAGTTAAACAATTAACTAGGATTTACTCGGCCGGTAGTTTAAGTCAAAATATAGTAAATCTAAGTCATGAGTCAAAAAGGCAAGCCAAAGAGCGAGGTTCTTCTCGTGGAAACACGCTCTTTGCATGCCCTAAACTACTGTTGTGATTGTAACGTAACATCTTTTGGGAAATGCAATTTATGAAGAGAATGAATTGCTAAAACGACTTTTCCCGAATGAAGCATTTCATAAAGACGACAACGTTTGTGCTAAAATAACGCCTACTGATGGGCCCGCACGATTCTTTGAAAAGGCACCCGGCATAAACATCACGGAAAGGAGACAGGCACTGAATTTCGTGAAATGTCCGTCTTTGTTTAAACGAAACACTGGGGAAGGTAGCAAAAATAGCGAGTTCCCTGGGTGATGGGCGTGGGCGGGACGGAGGAAAGGGCGTTAAAATTGTTCTCACTTATGACAACAGTCTCTATTTTTATTTTTCCAATACAAAGGCATGTCGCAATGTAGCAGAAATTGAAGTCTTCTCCTCCAGCAGAAAAAGATCGCATTGCAGTTAAATACAGTTTGTCTTCTTCCCCCCTCATCCTAATTCCCATCCGCTCTACTGCGTTTCCTTACATGAATCAGATGATTGCTTCTATTGTCAGGGATAAGATGTCAGACACCAGCACGACGGACCTGTTGCATACAACAGGGAGCAGAGAGCGCTGGTGACACCGGTCGAATGCGAATGGGTGGCTATAACCAGTGCTAGATCATGTCTGCAAGAGGGAGAGAGAGGGAACATGAGCGTACTGGCGTCGACTACTTATATATATATATTTGAAAGCAAATACGTTCTTTAAAACAAAATAAGAAAACTTCCTTAAGCAAATGTGCGACGCTCGCTCCACAGATCGTTTTCAGACCTGACCAAATATGCACAGAACAATCAACATTTCAAACGTGCTTCAACATCGATATTCATTTGGCGTTTGCGCCAGTAAACGGCCTCCTAGCGACCTGGGAAAGCAGCGTTGAAAAATTTTCTATTTTTTCCAAAGAACGTTTTTGCTTTCAAATTATATTTCTTGGGATGTCTGCTTTCCAATATATATCCACTGTATAATTATCGATAAAGACAAGCGAGATTGGATGGGCCATTTCTGGCTTATTAGTCGTCAGCCAGTCATACCCAACCCCGAAGTGTGGAACACCCGTGGCTTGAACTCGCGATCCGTTAGTTAGAATTTCACGCCTCCACACTTCGGGGTTCGGTATGACTGGCTGACGACGGCTAGTAAACCAGAAATGGCCATCCCAATCTCCCTTGTCTTTGTCAGTCATAACATACCGCCTATATCATGCCCCGTTGTGCGGCTGCTGGTTGGGCTCAAGAGAGAGCCCGTATTATATTTCTTCAGCTGATTGCGTACCAATATATATATATATATATACATACTGGAAGGTAGGCATCCAAAGAAATGTAAGTTGAAGGCAGGGGCTTTCTTTGGGAAAAGATACTTTACTGCGTAATTGTTCGACGCGTGGGGAACCGTAAGAACGATTGGTAAACGCCGTCTACCATATATATACACAGGAATGGGTGCACACCGATCTACTCGTTTTTACGAAGCAAACAAGCTCCGTATTTTTGGTAGGGGTCACGAGCAGGCAAGCAGTTACCAGATCAAAGTAGGCCAAGTCATTATAACACCGGGGAGGTATGACAGAGTATGTGGGTAAAGTGATATAGTACTGTTTCGGGCTTGGTAATCCTTTATTTACCCAACCATAACCCTGACCAGCAGCTGGGGACAGAAACACAAACATGCTCACAGACGCACATGGAGAATTCGATCCACCACTGGGTCTACCAGATGGGTCATAAGAACTTTATCGAGGCGAGGCTCTACTTTGCCCAAAGAACCTATTTGCTTTCAAATTATATTTCTTCAGCTGATTGCGTACCAATTTATATATAAACATATGCATACTGGAAGGTAGGCATCCAAAGAAATGTAAGTTGAAGGCAGAGGCGTTCCTTGGGAAAAGATACTTTACTGCGTGAATTTTCGACGCGTGGGAAACCGGCGTCGCAACAGTAGCATTCCGAATGGAAGTTCGTGACCTGGAGATATCCAACTTCGATTCAAATTTAGACGGAGCATTTACCTTCAAGGTTACGATCTGGCTCATCATAGGTTACGTTAAGTTAACTCTAAATCCCCGGTCTGGCGTTTACCATTGCAGAGATCGAATACTTTGGAATAATAGTCTTCTGAAAAAATTTGCTCAGATGAACAGATATTACTTGCCGGGTTATGTAGGATGCGGGACCTTCTTCCTCACATACCCAATTTATCGAATGATTTATGTACTTAAACGATCACCTAATGCATCCCATTTTCAGGTATTCTGAATCGCGCGTTAATATGTTGTGTTATTTTTTCAAATACTTTTCAATACAACTACTTTAAAGCAAAATCCTCTCCGCCTCAACGATTATCGAGAGCGCCAAAGTATTCACTAGAATACTCAGTCGAGACTCGCAGCACATGTATTTACATGCTAATCAAAGGAATATAAGTAGTCACTATGTTTGTATATGTGAGATTCCCTACATCGCATATCATTCAAACAGATGCTAAAAAAATTGCTTTTTTTAATTTCAGTTTCCCGGAAGTATAACACTAATGGTGGCCCTTACCTACTTTCCAGCGACCAGTCGTCTTACAGTTGGCGTGTTTGAGTGCCAGAATTTGCCCCTTAAGTCAAACGGATTTTGCATTGGTAAGTGACGTTTAACCTTGAAACGTGGCGCATCTGCGGGTTACTGTGTAAGACATCTTCTTTTGAGGTGAAAGAAACTAAAAGTTCAGACGTTTTCTTAAGCAGGATTTGATGTTGCTGTCAGAATTTGCATCTAAACGTAATGCTAGTCCGACAAAGTTTTGTGGCAGGGTTGACGCGAACTACGCGGTCTAGCTCAGCTCTTGATGACAAGGGCGACTTTTTGCTTTTCAGAGGCTCGCCTGCTCATGACGTCTGCAATTTTGCTTGCAGCCCATCTGCCTTACGGAGGCAGACAAATCTTTTTTTGCCCCGTTTAAGCATAAACACATGCCAAAATTATTTTAGATCAAATGACAGGGGCATTGACGAATTACCAGTGAGCATATTTGTAAAGCATTCGTCGGGGGTAAGATCTGCTGCAAAGACCATGAATATATTTAAAGCTTAACTTCAAAAAGACCTAAAATTTATCAAAGTCACTCACTTGTGTAAACCCTAGACCCTTTGGACCATCAGTGGGAATTTTAAGAGTGAGCAACCAAACCAAGGAACATAATGGCAGCTGAAATTTGGAAGGGTTAGTGGCGATACTTAATGGGCATCTTAATGTCCAATCTGGGGAAATGGCGTCACATACATTTACAAAATAAACTTCATGCTTTTCTGAAAAAAATCAGATGTGTGCTGGAAGATGTGCTAACTCATGAAATGCCGTCCAGAATTTCGAAATGCGTTCACATTTCGAAAAAAATAAATTAAGTAGTGTTGTAAAACTAATCACGATGCAGAATAAATCTATAATGATACAGTAACGTTAGGGTGTCGGCTTTCGAAAGAATATATTTTTGGCTGCATGAAAGATCTACACTCTGCAAAGAATGACTACTTAAGTTGTATGCAATTTTCTCATTGTTTTTCCATGCCCTTAAAAATTCAATTATATTTCATGGAAAACATGCAGAAGAATATTCATTCTTTTATTTGTTCGGTAGGAAATCACGTCTTCTTCCAATTTCATACTCAAAAGAAAAGTACAATTCGGTCTTATAAAGTTTCTTAGGTAACAGTCGGGAGATGGCACACAAAAAAATCCGCCTAAACAAAGCAGCCTTTCTTACGGGACAGGTGGTAATAGGGGTTTTATGTGTGGTGGCTGGTCGGGGTTAGGATACTAGCCGACGGAAAGCCTTAATTGAACAGGCGAATGATCGAAGTTGGCCCGCTCTCCGTTCCGTTACTACAAAATGGGTCGCCAAATCAGTATAGTGGTAACGGACAAGTGGAAGGCGTATAATCGTCTTCCCTCAGAAGGTTATCTACATTTCTTAGTTAACCACTCAATAAACTTCAAGGACCCTACCACCGGACGGCACACCAATGCTGTTGAAGGATACCGGAGTAAACTGTAAAGGAAACTCTACGAGGGGGCCCTGCATGTGGTCGAGCTGTGTGGGCTCACATATACGAAGTACAGTATCGTCTTTGGTTTGACCTCACTGCTATGTCTTTGATAGATACCTGGGAACTGTTCATGTCCCCTCTTCTGCAGACCTATCCTACTTAAAAGTGTTTGTGTTATATAATAAACGGGCATAATGCGAATGTATGCCGCATATTCAGGTGTACGTGTGTAGCGATGAGGAAGGTTGGGTAAGAGCGACCATCGTCCATGTAACCTCCTGCGATGTTCGTTCGGCCAGCCCATGTTAGGTCGTCGAGGAAAAGTCCAAGTAGTGCGTGAAAGTAGGCCTGCAACCGCCGATATAGCCTGAATGCGTTTGAGTCCACTGTTAAAGGTATCGTTTCTAGGTAACGGATTTTTTGGGTGCCATCTCCCGATTGTTACCGTTTCTTATTTTAAGATTTTTTTTATACCGTTCAATGGCCGTTCATAAAACGTCATGTATCTTCATTTACGAATATGGCTTTTAAAGTTAACAATGTTGCTCAAATCCACTGCTTAATTTTATGAACCTCATATGGTCTCCTCTTAACACCATAGAGAAATGCATGCAATATTGTTAACTTGTTAGGATGAGAAGAAAACTGTTAGGAAGATCCCGCACGTTATCAACAATGCGGTCTACTGCGGTCAGCTAGAAAACATGCCCGGATACGCATACACGAACATCAGTCTGAAGTAAAGTGTCCGGAGTACTTGCCCTGCGTCGCTATGAATACAATGGAAACTATATGCAGATGTGCTTGGAATAAAACACGCACCGTTGGCGTACGTCCTTACAAAAGACGCGAATGATTCCTGCAAGCCATACACTTTAATGACTGGCACATTAACTGACATGTCGAACTTGACGATGTGTACACTAATTTCAAGAAAACATTAATAATACGAAAATTACAACAATATGAACATCAGCCGGCATCCATGGCTCATTGGCAAGAATTAAAAAACCATATCGCTTTTTCAGGCTGATTTAAAATCTGCACTGTTTTACTTATTTGCTGTATGTCTGTTATTGGCCTTATGGTCAGCATCGAAACTTTACACATCTGAGCTTGATGACATTCCCAATGGCCATTTCTGGCTCGTTTGCAGTCATCAGCCAATCCCACCTAACTGCAGATGTAGAGCGCTCGAGATTCGGAGTCAAGACCTTTAGTCATTAGACCTAACACTCTACCCTCGGGCCGCAAATCCGCTGTCTTGTCAGTTGTAATCAAAAATAATATTTGCAGTAGGGAAGCCCACACACGTCTAGTTTCGGAGATATAAACTAAGACCCTCGAAGTCAGTGGCATTGCGACTAATGACTAACGTAGAGGTGGCACCGATAAAGACGAGCGTAGCAGGAATGGCTCGCTAGTCGTCACCAGTCAGTCACATCCGACTCTAGGTGTGGACCACCGTAGATTCAAACTCGAGATGCTTGGCCACTGATTCTGGCATTCCATTATTTATCCACTGTGTCCACTCTCCTCTCCGCTGTGATTGATGAACGTGCCTCCAAAACGGGACAGGTGGTAGATGCGTTGGACCAACGCGGGGGCCATATGGGATTATGGCAGGCGCTATCGAATTTGCGCACCACAAGAAAATGCCAACACATTGGGGTACGGTGGCAGACCCGGTTGCGGGCCGATTTCACGCACACTGGGATGCCTGCCGACCACCTCGTGTTGTTGTTATTGGTCAAGAACCTGGTTATGTGCTCTGTGGTCCAGGGTGTGGGGAGTGGAAGGCCAAGGTGTGGGTTAGACAGTGTCATTCACTTGCGCCCTCCCCGCCTACGGTCTGGTTGACCCTGTTATGACTCAAGCACGACTGGGAGCAGGAGAGCAGAGTGTGGTAGATGCTGCCCAAGTCTAATATCACTAAAACGTAGTTCACACACAAGTCATCCTCCCTGCTCTCACTGTGACTTAAAGCACACAATGGACATCGTCGGCAACGACGGTCAGACTGTCGGTTGATAAGCGTTCATCTATAATTTAATAGTATTCTCGATGAAATAAATGCCAAACTACGCAGTTTTTTCTTTCTTACTAAATAGCGTGAAACACTAAATTTCACCGCATTGGGGAGATCTATAAAGCACTGTTTTCAGGTACGAGAAACTACTCAAAAATAATTCTTTCATTTACACAGCTGTATACGCAAAAGTCGTCGTATGCAAAGGAATCCAAGGAAAACTGCATAAAGCCAAGCGAACCCAACCACTGGAACAGAGGAGGAGTTTTGACGAGTCCTTCACCTTTTCAAAAATCGAAGACCCCTCAAACATGAACGTCCGCATTGTGCTCATGCAACAAGGCTTTATTGGTAAGTGTGAACACCGAGATCCGAGTTATTCTTGATTTTAAAACATTGTCTAAAAGCGTTCTTCGAGCGACGTCCGGTCTGACAACAAGGTCGCACTCGGTTGAAGGTCGTTTATATCACGCACGCCCATTTTTACAAGTAAGTCATGATAGAACATGAAAATAATCTTTCCAAAGCGATAAAATATTCACGTCATTCTCGAGGTTTGAAAAAATTAATTCTCCGGAAAATTCAAAAATTGAGCTAAAACGCCTCTGAAACACATCCGACCGCATTCAGGTATTTGCCTTATTAGTGTTTAAACTGTGGTATTGTTTCCCCTTGCATTATAAGATGAGTAATTAGAGCTGCCAACAGTGGCGTAGCCTGTATTATTTTAGAAGGGCGTCAAATAACGAAGAATTTAGGCGGCTTTTGCAATGGTCAAGTGCTCAGGGCCCATAGTTTGAGCCAAATGACAACGGCATCCGCTTATGTGCGTGAGTTGGTCGCAATCCAGGATTCAAGCATCGCCCTTTGATTAATAGGTCAGGCAAAAATAGCGCTCTGTTAGGTTAACGTACAAAAACGCGACTTCATGGAGGTCAGCGACAAAAAGAGATCGGGACACCGCTGCCAGGGCGGTCACTCGAAAACTCGTTTACCTTCAATACCTTTGATGTCGAAATGAGCCTCAGGTGAGTACTTGATCGGGGAAAATCAGTCCCTATACAAACCGTGGGCAAAAAGATTTCGGCGTACTTTCTTTGAGAAATATAATCAACATTTCAGATCCCGAAATGAACGAATGAAACAAGATTTCTCTGATCTACTGAGTCGTATATAATTCTACCGGTCGAAAGACAGCACGCTACTGTAACACTTTTCTTGCATATAAGAATATCCACCACAGTTATGCAATATTTGTCTTCTGGCGTAAATACAAGCATAACGTCCAACATTTCTAAACCTTCTCGCTGCACCCTATTCAGTAGCAGCGTCAAAGAATCAGGAAGCCTATTTTTTTTACTCGCACTGTCACTTTTAAAAATAGCGCTCAAATTGTCGATATCAGCGGAAAGATGATTGAAGGAACATGAGTGGAATTCACCAGATTTTTTTGTCTCTCAGGGATGCCAATACATGCACCCGATCAAGCGTTTTCATGCATAACATTTTGCGACTTGGATGCGCACATGCACGCAATAATCGCGCCAAGCATGGACACCCATGATGCGTATGGGGATCGCTAAATATGATATGAGTGTGGTTAGGCAACGGCCTCATTATATAAATATTTCATTCCCTGTGCGTGAATTAGCTCTACCTGCCATCGATCCTGATTATGTGATCGTAAGAGAACAAAAAACCTGGGGTGAATGAAATTGCTGAGCCTACGATTTTGTCCCCTTTTCCGCAACTGTTTTCTGGAAATCATTCCCACAACTACAGCGAATTTATTAATATTATTAATTTACCCACAGCTGAAGCGTCGCTTTCCATCACTTCAGTACATGAATAGCACGTACTGCACACGCACATAATGCCGGATCTCGTCAGAAAGCTGGTATGATAATTTACCTTAATGGTCAGATTGGAAAAGATTAGAGATCCGGGAAGATTATTAGAAGAAGAAAATTGGCTCTCCGGAACAGGTTTATTTAACTGCTGACGTTTCAAAGAGCTGGGTCGGCTCTTCATTGTCAAAGCGTAAACTGCACTTAATCGATCAGAAAGTTAACTTAAAGTGGCAAGCTGTGTTGGCCGGCCTCATGCTGATCGATTTTTCTCTCTCCTCACGCTGTGTCGGCCTCTCAGGAAATGGTTGACGGGCGTTTTTGCCTGTGCGCTTTATGAGTCACCACTCCGTCGAGGGGAGCTGATTGGACTTTAGTCGGGCGGTCGGTCTGGCGGTTCTTCTTCTTCCTCACTGAGTAAGCTCAGCGTCGGGCTATCTCCATGCTGTCTTCTTAAGTCCGGTGTAATTGTTTGGTCCTGAGCTCTACGGTTGTGATGACGCAAGACTTTGTAAGCTGCAGGAAGGTCCAGATGCCTGTTGATAGAGTGGGCATCGGAGAACCACGCCTCGAGAGTTAGCCGTTCTGTTTTTGTGTTGCCTCGGCCTAAGATGGTAGCCCTCTGGAGGTCAAAATTATGCCCCGTTTCCCCAACGCGTGTTGCTAGTTGAGAGTTAGGGTCTAACCTCCGAGTGGCCGATTTGTGTTCTTGTAGGCGAGTTTGCAATTTCCGCCCAGTTTCGCCCACATAGTTGCAGTCACCCTCATTGCAATTTATTTTGTAGATAACTGCTGAGGTTTCAGCGGGTGGCAATGGGTCTTTAGGTTGCATCAGGCGACGTCAAATTGTTGCTTGTGGTCGATGGGCTATGCCTACTCTGGTGGGTTGTAACAGTCGCGAGACCGCTTCAAAAACCCCTTTAACGTAAGGAATGGCCCTCCAGACTTCGGGTTACTGCTCATTTGGCCGTTGTCTGGGCGCCCAACGTCTGCTTCTCTCGATGAAATGCCTGGGATAACCATCGGCTGCAAATAGGTCCACAAGGTACAATCGTTCGGCCCTTTTATCTTCTGGTGTGCTGCAGTGTGTTTCGACTCTTTGGAATAGAGTGCGGACACAACTACGTTTGTGAGACAGTGGATGGTTGCTGTTAAGGTGTAGGATCTGTCTCGTGTCGGTGGATTTTCGGAATACTGTAGTTTGCAGCTGTCCAGTGGTACACCGGCGCACAAGTACGTCAAGGAAGGGCAGTTGGTTGTTTGTTTCCACTTCCATCGTAAATTGTATATCCGGGTCAACCGAGTTCAGTAGTCCCTTTAGGTGTTCTATGTCAGTTGTTTTGACAACGACGAAGGTGTCATCGACATAGCGGGCCCAGAACTTTGGTTGATATTTGGTGAACACCAAGTGTTCTACCCGTTGAAGGACTACTTCAGCAATTAGGCCTGATATAGGGGAGCCCATAGGAGTGCCCTTTATTTGTTCGTACATTTGTCCGTCGAAAGTGAAATAGGTCTTGAGACAATATCGCAGAAGCTCGAGTAGATGCTCAGGCTTCAGAGGTCTATCTCTCTCCTCATAACGCTCTGCCAGTAGTTGGTCCACAACATCTATCGCCAGTTGCTGTGGGATGGAGGTGAAGAGCGAAACGACATCAAAGGATACCATGGACTCGTCTGGCTCTAACCTCAGATGTTTTATGCGTTCGAGGAATTGATACGCAGATGCAACTGTTGTTGGTAAGCCTTCGGCCAAAAACTTAAGACGACCGAACATCCATTTTGCCAAACCGTACGTCGGAGTGCCACGAAGGGATACGATTGGCCTGAGTGGGACATTTGCCTTGTGTACCTTCGGTAG